TTGTTTATTTATTAATCAATTTATATATTATTTTTATATACATTTTATGAATTTTCTTTTATCTCTGATACTTCTATTGTAGAGAAAGGGTAAATAGCAATATTAAAATATTTCTCCTAGGTGTTTTTTTCCAATCAGCAGCAGAGACATCACTCCAGAACTTGTTAGAAATGCAGAATCTCAGGCCCACCCAGACCTATTAAGTCATAATCTGCATTTTAATAAGTATCCAGGGATTGAGTTTAAGGTGTACGGTTTTAGGGAACATTTAGTTATTTGTCAAATGGTAAAAAACAATCAGGTCCTTTAGGGTGATTCCCCCCCTCTCCCCCCCATCAATGTTTAACACACCTGTGCGGCAGAGCTTTGATTGGAATAAAGGTTTCCTGCCTCTGCTGGCAGGTTCCAGCATCAAATACAAAAAGGCAGACAATGCTCCTCATAACTTAAACAGAAACAGTAATTTTTTGCCCTAGCAGGTTTGGCTCAGTGGTAGAGCGTTGGCCTGCAGACCAAAGGGTCCTGGGTTCGATTCCAGTCAGGGAACGTACCTTTGCTGCAGGCTCCTCCCTGGCCCAGGCCCTGATAGGGGCTCGTGCAGGAGGCAACCAGTTGAAGTTTCTCTATCTTTCCTTCTCTCTTCCGCTCTCTAAAAGATCAATGAAAAATATCCTTGGATGAGGATTAACAACAACAGAAGGAACAAGTAACTTTTTATGGCCTACAGAAGCAGATAGTTATTCATATCTCTGAAAACCTTCATGCCTTGACAGTAATGCTTTGAAAGCAAATACTGGTTTTTCCTTTTAATCATTCATATTTTCCAATTAAGAAACATAAACTGCACAGCAGAGGCACTTTGCTAGTAACTGTTATTTAATAATATGTAAGTTAGGCTGATGTCTGTTATTGTGAATGTGATGAGCCAGGGCCAAACTGAACCTTTGGAATGGGTACACTAGTACATATGTGTAATTGAAGAACGTGATTCACTGACCTACTTTCTTGGTTACCAAACCAGTCGGAGGTTGGATTACCTGGGCTTTAGCGCCATCTAGTGGTCACAAATGGTTCAGGTTTCAGTTGCAGAAATAATATGGGGAATTCTAATTTTATTTTTTAACCCAAATGCATCCAACTTCTCACTTTCCAGGAGAATCAATCCAACACATACACTTTTTATGCTGTTTTTATAGTTAAAATTATAGGCTGAGGGCTTTTGGAAATTATAGGCTGTGTGGGGCGACCAGGCTGGCAGGGGTGGGGGTTGGGTGAGGGGGAGGCAGTTGAGGATGACCAGGCCAGCAAAGGGGGTGCGGGGGAAAAGGGGGGGGGGGGCGCGGCAGTTAGGGGCAATAGAAAAGTTGGAGATGTCCCTATTTCGAAAAGACTGAAGTGATCTTTGATGCTTCCTTTATTTGATATATTCATTTTGTCATCTCTCCAACCCCCCAGTAATTTCTCAAAACATTAAGCCTGAGCAATAGGGTTTCCAGACTCACAAAAGAGCCCCTTTCCTCACAGTGTGTCTGGGGAGCAGTAGAGGGTTGCTGAGCCAGAGAGCCTTGCCAAAGATCAGTGTAAGCTAAGTAAACAGGCGGCCAGCCTTTCTCTTCACCCCTTTCTTAGGGATGTGCTGTCTGAGACCCTGGAACCAATATTTAATTATAGGCATAGAAATGGTGGCAGGAAGTCTCAACAATGCCAGAGCTGGCATCTCCTCAGGAAGGGCAGCAGAATATTCTTTCTAGCCCCTAATATGCTTCTTTGGCATGAGAATTATTTGGGTGATTATTTTTGAGAACTAGCAGACAGAAGTTGCTCTGAAAACACAGTAGAAGTTGCTATTCTTTAAGGGAAATGTTCATATATAAAGGAAATCTCTGTTTGTGAGGGTATTACCCTCTCTGTGCTATGAAGAAATTACAGCTAAGAACTCAGAAGGGTAGAAAGAAAATTGTTTTTCTTCCCCTACATTACCTATTTAGCAAAAATGGAATTCAGAATCAAGATTAAGTTGGTTTACAGAAAATAGAGATGAAATATCCTTTCTTGCAGCTTTGTGGCCAATGGGAGGGACCAGAGTTTGCTACCCCAAATATACCTTTTGGGAAATTGATTATTTTTGAGAAACAAAAGAATCACTGAGGGAATACCGGGAGCTTCTGAGATTAGGTTTGAAAAAGCGCCACTGAAGAATTTAAACTCTTCAAGCTGGTTCAGCATTGTTGAAGAAAGGGAGGGACATGGAAGGTGATTTTTAAGGCCTCTGTCTTGGTCTTTGACTTTCTGAATAACATAATGACTCTCTGAAAAAGGGAGAAAAACAGCAGCCAACTTCCTGGGGGTCAGAAAAGCTTGTGTTTCTGCAAGCCTAGGTATGCCTCCAGAGGTAATGGTGGATGTTGTGGCTTAAGCTGTCCAAAAAGATATGTTGAACTTCTAACCTTGAGTACTTGTGAATGCGATCTTACTTAAAAAACAGGGGCTTTGCAGATAGAATCAAGTTAAAATAAGTTAGACCAAATTAGGGTGGCCCTAATCTGATATGACTAATGTCTTATGAAGATGGAAATTTGCATACAGCCCTAGATAGAGAGGAGAATGCCATGTGAAGGCACAGATACAACATGTGAAGATGGAGACAAAGGTTGGAACCAAGGAGTGACTGGAGCTAGCAGAGGCTGGCAGAGGCAAAGAAGCATCGTTTCTTAGGAGCTTTGGAAGGAACATGATTCTGCCAACACTTTGCAAACTTTTTGGCTCCAGGACTGAGAGAATAAACGTATGTTGTTTTAAGCCACCTGTTTTGCGGCCCTTTGTTACAGCAGCTCTAGGAAACGAATGCCATGGGGAAGATGAAGGTCTTCGTTCTGAGGGCATTTTCTGGGGGTGGACTCCCATCTCAGGAGCAGGGGCAGTAGACCTCTGGCCACGGAGGACTATGGAGGTGCTGGCAGACACTTGAATTAATGCTTGCCATCTGAAGAGATACCTGATGGTTTTCTGCCCTTGAAGACTTCAGCGCTCTTACAGTAAACAGTGGTTTAGTGTTTGTGATTGAACATCGGAGTTCTCTAGAACAGACGTTTGGGCACTAAAACCTCGTGTGTACCAGATGAATTCAAAAGAGCTTGGGAAAAGTTGCCTGGTTTTTACGAGGGCTAGAGACTTAGGTACAGAGAACGCCGGCTCCATGAGCGTTAGGACCGGAGAGCGCGGGTTAGAGCAGGGGGCAGATCAGGTTTTGTGGGGCCTTGAATCAATTTTCTAAAGCTGTTGTAAAGTGTACCCACATTGGAGTGGCTCAAAGTGCTTTATATTTTCGGAGGCTAGACACCTGAAATCTAGGTGTAGGCAGGGCCATGCTCTTTTTGCCAGCAGAGAATTGGGCATTAGGCAGACGGCTGCCCAGTAAGGAGAGTCTTATTTTGTCCTGTCAAGGGAGGAGTGACACTTCCCACTAAAAGGTACCACGAACAGCCTGCAGGACAGACCAGGAGGGGGACCTGACTTAGGCTCTTTTAGGGCCTTTGGGCCCTCTCAATGGAGAAATACTGAGGTCTAGGCACACGGGGTGCTGAGCTGCCCTGCAAGTTCCCATCGACGCTTTAAAATACACCCTCTAGGCTCGGCCGGTGTGGCTTGGTGGGTTGGAGCATCGTTCAGCATTCTGGAAGGCCTCGGGTTCGATTCCTAGTAGGTCACCTAGGTTTTGGGTTCGATCCCAGGTCTGGGCGCCTACAGCAGACAACCAGTCTCTTTCCCTTCCTCTCTCTAAAATCAAGACATGTCCTTGGGTGAGGATAAAAAACAAAACAACCCCAAACATATATATATATTCCCTCAAACTCACACTCTTGCAGTTCTAATTGAACATTTGTGTTTAAAGCCAAGCTGCTACATTACAGGTAATTTGCCATCATCCAGCTTTATATTTAACTAGAGGCCGGTTGCAGAAAGATTCCTGCAAGAATAGGGCTTCCTCAGGCCTATTCCTGCAAGAATAGGGCTTCTTGCAGCTGTCTCTGCTGCCTCGCCTGCTTCGCCATCCTGCTTGCTTCTCCACAGGTTCACTTCTTTCGGCAGCGCTTGGCTTCCTTCTATGCTATCTTCAGTCTTCTCTTTGCACCTGGACATGCAAATTAGCCGCTGAATTGGTTGGGTTAATTTGCATGTTTGCTCCTGGGCGTGACTTGTGGGTGTGACAGAGGTAGGGTCAATATGCATGTTTATCTTTTATTATATAGGATACTTTAACATAGCCTGTTACCTAAAGAGTCTTATTACAAAAAGCTCCCAATCATCTCTGCCGAACTGTTTGGCGAGGCCAGGTGGAACACCCCCACATAGTGGCGCTCCATTGGGCCATGCCGGCCTCGGCCGAAGGCACACGTTAGCTAGCACCTTTGACTGAGACCCGGACCCGCTGAGGTTCCGATTGTGCCCTGACACTCCGCTCTGTACAAACAAAAGTCCTAACGAATGTTTCTGGGTCCATTTCAGATACCACATGGATCCGCAGAAGGACCTCCCCGAAGAGAAACTCCTCATTTCTGGTCCCTGATCCCTCGCCTTTAGAATTCCTCTAAAGCTTCTTCTCTGGACCCACATCAGCTCCCCAAATTCCGATCAAAGCCAGACCCAGGGCAAGCTGGGCCGACAAAGGGCGATCGGGCTCTAGAGCCGCCATAGCGGCGAGATGCCCTTCCATTAGCAAGAGATGCTCTTAGCAAAGCTGCGGACCAGCCTACGCACGGAGACTGGCTTCCCCTCTTTCCATTTCTTTTGGTTTCGGTCTGCTACGTGGATGGGAAACAAACCCGGAGTTCATTCGGCCAGCCCCGGACGAGGGGGAGACTGCGCGTGCGCAAAGCTGTTTACACACATGCGCGCGCGTCGGGCTCGGGGCGGGGCGGGGCGGGGCGAGGGAAAACCCGCCAAGCTTCCCCTTCTTGCCCTCTGACCTCGGAAAGGAGGGGGCGGGGCTTAGGGGCGGAAGGAGCAGTGCATTGTGGGCTCGCCTGGAGCAGGGGAGCCGGGATATAATGAAAGTGATGCGCAGCCCCTAACGTTACCCGGGCTGGGAGCGGCTGGAACCCGGACCTCGGCTGGGGTTCGGCGGCCGCGCACCTCCGTGCGGAGCGGCCCGCGAGGCGGCGGCGGCGGCGGCGGAGGCGGGAGGCGCGGCGAGCGTTGGCGGAGCGGGGCGGCTCTGCGCGGCTGCGAGTCATGGCTCACAACAAGATCCCGCCGCGGTGGCTCCACTGTCCCCGGCGCGGCCAGCCGGTGGCAGGTAACCCGCCTCGGGGCTTCGAGTCCCCGCGCCGGCGGCTGCTCGGGTGGGCCCTCCGAGGGGCGCAGCTCTGGGTGTTGGAGCGCCTGCCTGTCAGTGGCCTTTCGGGGTCGGATGAAGCTCCGTGGAGGAAGGAGTGTTGGGGAACTTGGACCGCCGGAGGGGGTGGGTCGGAGGGTGAGGCCACCGGTGACTGGGATCGGGCTAAGGATCGCGGGCGGGAGGGTAGACAGGAGGTTTGTGTGGCTGGGACCGGGGACCCCAGAGCACAGTGGACGGCACCTTGAAAGTTGGAGAGAAGTTTGCGAACCTTTCAGGGTCCTCAGGAGGGAAAAGGACAGTGCCGGTCTTGGGATGGAGAAGGGCAGGGGCAGTTTTCTGCGGTGACAGGAGACTGGAGCTTTAAAAAATTCTAAATCACTTTATTGTGTGTGTGTGTGTGTGTGTGTGTGTGTTTCATTTTTATTGAGTTGGACACACATCAAACTTTAAAGTGGACAGTTTGAAAAGTTTTTATTATATGCACACACACATCTATGAAACAACCCAAGAAGCCATCACCACGATCAAGATAGTCCACATTAGAGCTTGCGGACTGAAGGGTCCTGGGTTCAATTGCGGTGGAGGGATCCCCACAATTGGGCGTGCAGGAGGCAAGCCGATCAATATTCTCATCATTGATGTTTCTCTTTCTCCCTCTCCCTTCCTCTCTGAAATCAAGAAAAAAATATTGAAAAATAAAAGGTAGTCAACATAACTCATCATCTCTCAAAGTCTTTTTCCTGCCCTTTTTTGTTATTGTTGTTAGTCCTCACCCGAGGATATATTTTCATTGATTTTTTTAGAGAGTGTAGGGGAGGGGAGGATACAGAGAGAGACTATTGATGACTGGAATAGAACCCCCGGGACCCATCAACACTCTATCCACTGAGCCAAGCAGGCAAGGGGTCCTACCCCCCCCCCCCCCCTTAAAAAATATTTTATTGATTTTTCACAGAGAGGGATAGAGAGCTAGAAACATAGATCAGCTGCCTCCTGCACACTTCCCACTGGGGTTGTGCCCGCAAGCAAGGTACATGCCCTTGACCAGAATCGAACCTGGGACCTTTAAGTCTGCAGGCTGATGCTCTATCCACTGAGCCAAACCAGTTAGGGCCCTCCTGCCCTTTTTTAATCTCTCCCTCTTCAAGCAACCACTGATCTGCTTTCTGCTATTATAGAGTAATTTGCATTTTCTATATATTTTTAAAATACGTGGAATCATTTGGTATGTACTTTTTATTGGTGGAGTATCTGGCCTCTTTCACTCGGGATTATTATTTTGATATTTTTTCACGTACTTGTATGTAGCTATAGTTCATCCCCATTTATGCTGAGTAGTAGTCCATTGTTATGGATACACCACAATTTGTTTATTTCATTCACTTGTTTCTGGTCATTTGGATTGTTTCCAGTTTTTGGCTATTACAGATTCACTTGCTAAGGAACATTCATTTACAATGCTTTGTATGAACATATTCTTTCATTTCGTTTGTGTAAATTTAGAATAGAAATGGGTCATTTGGTGAGTGTACATTTAAAAAAATATATTTTATTGATTTTTTACAGAGAGGAAGAGAGAGGGATAGAGAGTTAGAAACATCGATGAGAGAGAATCATCGATCAGCTGTGTTTTGCACACCCCCTACTGGGGATGTGCCTGCAACCAAGGTACATGCCCTTGACCAGAATTGAACCCTTGACCTTTCAGTCCGCAGGCTGACGCTCTGTCCATTGAGCCAAACCGGTTTCGGCTGGTGGGTATACATTTAACCATTTAAAAAAACTGCCAAACTCTTCCCCAAAATCTGAACATTTTACATTTCTACCATCAATATGTATATGATTGTTCTACTTGCTCCACATCCTCTCCAACATTGGTGTGATCAGGCTTTTAAATTTTACCCACTTTATTGTCTTATTGTGGTTTGATGTTGAGCATCTTTTCATGTGCTGTTTCATGCATCTTCTTTTGTGAAGTGTCCAAATCTTTTGCTGATTTTAAAATTGTGTTATCTTATTGATGAGTTGTTAGAGTTCTTGTATTTTGTAAATACAAGTCCTTTATTGGATGTGTGTTTTTTCTAGAAGGGTGTTTTGTAACAAAATATAAAGGATTTCTTAGTGGCATCTGAGTACATATTTATACTATGTTTGTTTAGTTATATAAAATTGTTGGAAGAGGAGATTCTGTAAGTTATTTTTAAGTTAGATTTTATTTTTTAATATATTTTTCTTGATTTCAGAGAAGAAGGGAGAGGGAGAGATAGAAACATTGATGATGAGAGAGAATCATTGATCAATTGCCTCCTACACTCCCCACACTGGGGTTTGAGCCTGCAACCTGGGCATATGCCCTGCTGGGGAATCAAACCATGACCTCCTGGTTCATAGATCAGTACTCAACCACTGAGCCATACCGGCTAGGCTAATTTAATTTTCTGATTCTTCTAATTTGTTAGCTTTTTTCACATTCCATATAAAATCTTTAGTCAATAAAGCCATAAAAACTATGGATATAAAAGTTTATTCATAACTTTAACTGAAAGATACTTGAACTAAATCTTAGGGTAAGGAAATGTTTTTCTTCAATAAAAATGAAATAATTTTGTTTATGTTCTAATCACTCTTATATGCATTGTTGGTTGTAATAAAAACAAGTGTACTTGATAATCATTGTATTTTCTTCAAATGAATTAATCACAACTCTACATTTTTTTTCTAGGTCTTACTTTCTAGCCATTGTGACTTTTTCCTTTACATTGAATCCTTTTTAGAGAGAGGAAGGGAGAGGGAGAAAGAGATAGAAACATCGATGAGAAACATCAATATCCATTGGGGTGTTTCTTACACGACCCCTGCTGGGGGTCAGCTGCAATGCAGGCATGTGCCCTGACCTGGAATGAACCGGTGACCTCTTGATGGACGGGTCGATGCTCAACCACTGAGCCACACTGGCCTGGCTAATCTTTTTTTTTTTTCATTGGTTTTTCTCTGTGAAGTTATGGAGAAACTTCTGAACTTGGAGGTTTGGTGTTTTTCTAGTCTGGAGATTATTTCCTGGATCCTTTCATTAGAGTTATCTGCTACACTTAAAGAAAAACAAAATCATAAAGATGTTCTTGTCAAAGTGAATCTTTTTGGATTAAAAAAATAGCTTAAAATCAGAATTTTAATATAGTCTGCAGGATGGCAGTGACAAATATCAGAACATTGACTTACTGTTAGATTAAAAATGGGACAAATGTAGCGCTGCTGGGGGTTGATAGTAGCAGGTGAGGTGCTGAGCTCCAGGCACCTTTATACCTCTCCCAGAGATAGAATTGTGTGCTTTTTTTTTTTTTTTTTTTTTTTTTTTTTTTTTTTTTTTTTTAAATCCATCTGTTGGAAATGAAGGGTCAAGAATAAAAAGTTTTTCCTTTATAGCATTGGAATATTTTGGCTAGATTTTTAATTATTGTGGTTTAGCGAGTCTCTAAGCTCACCTATCTGATTGATTGTAGTCCCTGGACAGAACCCCAGGCCTCTAGACAACCAAACTAGATCTTTACTTACTAATAAATAGTGCTTCAGCTTGTAATGCTTATTAGAAAATAAAGTGAATGCAGCATAGAATTCTTTTAAAAAAAAATATTTTATTGAGTGTTTTTTTTAAATTTTTTTTTTTATAGAGAGAAAGAGAGAGGGATTGAAAGCTAGAAACATCAATCAGCTGCCTCTTGCACAGCCCCTAGTAGGGATGTGCCCGCAACCAAAGTACATGCTTTTGACCGGAATCGAACCTGGGACCTTCCAGTCCGCAGGCCAACGCTCTATTCACTGAGCCAAACCAGTTTCGGCAAGCATAGAATTCTTGATGTTTCTCTGAAGTTCCCTTTAAGTTTTGTCTGTGTTCTAGAAGTGTTCATGTTGCATGGTGTATTTTGGAAATGAAGGGTTAGCAGTGTTTTATAGTAGCAGAGCAAAGAACACTAGCTTTATTAGTGCAAGATTTAGTGAAAAAGAAGGAATCATTTCCATTTCCTGCTTCCTTTTTTCTTCCTAAGTGTTCCAACTATAAAAGTAACTTATGCTTGCTTTTTTCTAACTATAAAAGTAACTCATGCTTAATTTCTTTGATATTTTACATATGTAGGAAAATGTGTTGTACCTGCTTAAATTTTCTCATTGTAAACATTAGGATGCATTTTATTAGTACCAGAAGTTCATAATTTTCCTGGATTAGAAAGAAGATGGTGCTAATTATATATAATCTGTTCCACTGTGAAGTCTCCTTCTCTAATAAAACTTCCAGTGAGAGAGCTCCTGTAGATAGGACCAAACTTTATTTCTGAAGAATTCTGTTTTCTCCTTCTGAATGATAGAATTCAATTGAACACTTTAAAGAAAATGTTTCTTATTTCTTAAAGGCCATTGAACATAAAATTATAATACGTAAAGAACTTATTAGGCACTAACTGGGAATATAAATATGAGACAGTCTTGTGATAGTGATGGTAACTTTGAAGTTATTTTACATAGCAAATATTTTTAAAATTTATTTATTTATTTATTTATTTACTTATTTATTTTTTACAGAGAGGAAGGGAGAGGGATAGAGAGTTAGAAACATTGATGAGAGAGAAACACCAATCAGCTGCCTCCTACACACCTCCTACTGGGGATGTACTCGCAACCAAGGTACATGGCCTTGACTGGGATCGAACCTGGGACCTCTCAGTTCACAGGCCGCCACTCTATCCACTGAGCCAAACCAGTTAGGGCCGTAGCAAATATTTGAGTGGCTACTTTGTGCTACTTCTTGGGGTTAGGGAGATGATTATGATATAGTCCTTCACCTTAAAGAGCTCATAGTCTCATGGGAGTAGCAAAACATTATTTTAAAATACCTTTCGGTTACAATAAATGTAGTAATAACTATTATAGAATATTATGGAATACCAGAGGTAATGAACCTAATTCTTTGTTTGAGGTTGGGTAAGAGGAGATGGAGAGGAAAAAGGGGATCAGGGAAGGCTTCCCAGAGGAGCTGATATCTTGAATAAATAGAAGTTTGCTAGATAGATAGTTGGAGGAGAGAATCTAATGGCATGAATCTTCTAACTTACCATATTATTAACTTATTTATTGTTTATATTTCCCAGTAGAATGTAAACTATTAGGGAGTTTTATCTGTGTCCTGTGTCCCCCCCCCTCCCCTCCCCGAATATATTCCATGTACCTAGAACAATGCCTGGTACATAATGGGCACTCTGTTAAATAAACTCAGTGAAATATAATAATCTAGGTGAGATAATGGTAGAGATGGTGAGAAGATCAGATTCTGATATATTTTGAAGATGTGATAGGACTTGCTAAAATTAGATATGGGATGTGCTGGAAAGAGAAGGGTCAAGATCAGGGATAGCTCTAAAGGGTTTGGCCTGAGCTACTAAAAAATGGGTTACCATTTGCTTTGACAGGGAAGACCATGAGAGGACCAGCTTTTGGTGTTTGAATATTGAGATATCATATTTGGATATCAAGACTAAGATGTCTGGCCCTGCTGGTTTTCCTCAGTGATTAGAGTCAGCCTGTGGACTGAAGGGTCTCAGGTTTGATTCCATTTGAGGGCACCTTGATCCTTGGCCCTGATTGTGGTGTGTTTGGGAGGCAGCCAATCATTGCCTCTCTCACATCGATGTTTCTCTTTCTCTCTCTCCCCCTTCTCTCATCCACTCTCTCTGGAAAAACAAAAAGAAAAAGACAGATGTCTGTAAGGCACCAAGTAGAGACTAAGTCAGGTAGGCAGTCTGATAATCACTAGAGTTAATGGAGAGGCTTGGCTGGAGATACACATTTGTGAGGCATTAGCACCTGGGTGGCTTTAAAAGCTATGGCACTAGCTAAGTACCAGGGGAGTGAGTGTAGATAGAAAGAAGTCCAAGGACAGAGCCCTGGACAAAACATAGAGGGGCCAGGGAGATGAGGAGGAGCCAATGAAAGAGACTGAGGAGAGGCCAGAGAGTTAAGAAAACCAGGAGGATGTAGTGTCTTGGAAGCCAATGAATGAGTGATTCATGAGCTCCCTCTTAAATTAAAAAGTGGCCAGTCATTTGAGTTGTTGTCTTTTTAAAAAAGATGTTTAAAAAAAATTTTTTTTTAATTGATTTTAGAGAGAGGAAGGTAGAGGGAGAGAGAGAGAAACATCAACGATGAGAGAGAATCATCAATCTGCTGCCTCCTGCACACCCACTAATGGGGATTGAGCCTATAACCTGGGCAGGTGCCCTGATGGGAAATCAAACTGTGATCTCCTGATTCATGGGTCCACGCTCAACCACTGAGCCACTCCAGCTGGGCTTGTTTGAGAACTGATAATTAACCATTGGATTTAGCAGTGTGGAGGTTATTGATGATTTTTTTAAATCGTTGCCTGAGAATATGTTTTTACTTATTCATTTTTTTTTTGAGAGAGAGAGAGAAACATTGATGTGAGAGAGAAATATTGGTCCATTGCTTCCTGTACATGCGATTGGGATTGAACCCACAACCTAAGTATGTGCCCTGGCCCAGAATCAAACACACAGCCTTTTGGGGTATGGGGTGACACTTTAACCAACTGAGTCACCTGGCCAAGGCTTTGTTGACCTTGAGAAGTTTTATAGAAAATAAAATTTTTTTAAGTTGTCTTTTTATGAAATTTAAGTTAAAGCCTTTGGACAAATGTTAAGATTTCACTCTGATACTATTTTAGGTAGATATTTATTTTTAATTATTTTATTGTGTTTTAACATATAAAATGTTTAAAATGGGTCATTTAAAAATTGCTTATATAAAGTGACTTCTCCTATGCTTATATTGTGATTCAGAAATAAAGACCAAAAAGGTTAGTCAGTTTGCTGAAATTATAATCACTGATAGTTGTTTGGAGAGTGATTTTGGTTAGCATGCTTCTCAGGATGATCCTTATCCTTAGATGTAGGATAAGGTCCATAAGGTAGAGTTTCAAGTTTATATTAAGGATGTATAATTAGGAATTTTAAAGAACTGATTTAATTTAACCCTTTATTACATTTCTAGAACCATATCTTTAAAGGTTTTAAGGCAATAATTTTTTAATGTAGGGGTTTAGAACTTAAGAGTCATCATATAAGTTTCATAACCTGGTAATTTCTCTTTTTCTATTATATTCCTTTGTCAGTTTCTAGGATTTATGTTGTCCTTAAAAGTTCCAAGGCAGTATCTGTTAAAAGTATAGTTTACATTGAGAATGCCTCATGAACAGTTCATTTAAAACATTTTAAGAAAATGACTTTGAGAATTGCTAATAAGAGTGTTTTAACCTGGATCTGTTTTTTTTTTTTTTTTTTTTTAATGAAAATTGTTATTCATCTTCATGCTGTTTAGGAAGATTCTTACCTCTGAAGACAATGTTAGGACCAAGGTATGATAGTCAAGTTGCTGAAGAAAATCGGTTCTATCCCAGTATGCTCTCAAATTATCTAAAGAGTTTGAAGGTAAGAAACAAAACATTTTTTTATACTGATTTAATATACTTTGTCTTTCTCTTGTTCTTCAGGTGGCTTTTAAAAAAACCTTTATTTGAAACTGCAAAAATTGTACAGAGTTCTATGAACCCTTCTCCCATTTATTCCCATTGGTGACATCCTATGTAATAATTGTAGTACTATATCAAAAGCAGGAAGTCAGCATTGATACAGAACTATTATCTGTACAAGGATGGGAGTGGGAAGGGGGTCTGGAACAGTTCTGCTCCACCACCATGAATCAATACGTTGGATCAAACTGCAAAGAACAATACACATATACTCACAAATGAATGCATATAAAAACTGGTAAAAACTAAGTAAGATCTGCAACCTGCTCAGTGGTTCTGTACCAATGTCAATTTCCTGCTTTTGATATTATACTACAATTATATAAGATGTCAAACTCCAAAAGTCACATATTGTTTTCCCTATTTTGATCATTTTGAGTATTTTATATAAATGGAATAAGACAGTATGTGATCTTTTGGGGTTGACTTTTTCACTAAATGTAATTCTCTTGTGTTCCATCCAAGTGGTTTCATGTATCAATAAAAAGTTTATTCCTTTTTATTGCTAAATCTATTCAGTTGTATGGATGTATCAGAATTTATTAAACCATTCTCCGGTTGAATAGTTAAATAATCTTTTAACCAATTTGAGTTGTCTCCAGTTGTAGGGTATTGTGAATAAAGCTGCTATGAACATTAATGTACAGTTGTTTGTGTGAACATAGTTTCATTTTTAGGGGATAAATACCCAAGATTATTATTGTTGAGTGCATGGTGGATTTAAAAGAATGTGCTAAACTATTTTCCTAAATGAAATTGTAATTGTCTATGTTATTCTGACATAATACTGATTGTGTCAACTGCAATTGAAAAATAAAAAATTACTTTAAAAAACAGACTTTTATTCTCTCACAGTTTTGGATGCTAGAAGTTCCAAATTTAAGTGTTGGCAAGGTTGATTCTTTGTGGAGGCTTGGAGGAAGATTCTTTTCCATGCTTTTCTCCTAGCTTCTAGTGATTGCCAGCAGTCGTTGGCATTTCTTGGCTTGCAGCTCCTTCAGTTGTCTTTGCTTCATTGTTGACATTCTTCCTGTATGTGTCTATGTCCACATTTTTCTCTTAAAGGGACACCTTGGTTCAGTATGACTTCATCTTGATTATATTTGCAAAGCCCTATCTTATATAATCCTATATAATAAAAGGGTAATACCCAAATGGACCCTAAAGGTGGAATGACCAGAATGATCAGTTACTTTGATGCGCACTGACCACCAGGGGGTAGATGCTCAATGCAGGAGCTGGCCCCTGGTGGTCAGTGTGTTTTCACAGGGGGAGCTCCACTCAGCCGTAAGCCGGGCTGGCGGCTGCGAGTGTAGCAGTGGAGGGGCTCTCTTGCCTCTGCAGTGCTAAGGATGTCCGACTGTGGCTAAGCTGCCAGTTGGACATCTCCTGAGGGCTCCTGGACTACCAGAGGGATGTCTGACTGCCAGCTTAGGCTTGATTCCCCAGGGAGCAGGCCTAAATTGGCAGGTGGACATCCCCCGAGGGGTCCTGGATTGTGAGAGGGCTCAGGCTGGGTTGAGGAGACCCCCCCGACCCCAGTACACGAATTTTTGTGTACTGGGCCTCTAGGTTCCAAATGAAGTCATATACAAAGGTGGTTAAGATTTGAACATATCTTTTTAGAGGACATAATTCAACTCATTAATCTTTATAACTCTCTTGTTTTATATCCTTGATAGTCTGTTATTGTATGCTAAATATTAGTGTCGATTGTGTGCAAGGCTCTTATCATGGGATACAAGAGTCATAATTTTTTTATTTTTATCTATCTAACTATCTATCATTTATTTATCTCTATTTGTCTAGATATTTATTTTTAAATTTATTTGGTTAATCCTTCCCCAAGGATATGTAACCCAGGTACCTTCCCTGGACTGGGAATTGAAATTGTGACCCTTTGGTGCGTGGGCTGACACTCTACCACTGAGCCATACCAGCCAGGGCAAGAAGCACCATCAAGATTTTGAAAACTTTTTACTAATTTTCTTGATGTAGTTTTGAGTCTTTATTTGTTTATATGTTTTATTTTAGCTTGTAAACTTTAAATATTTATTATTAATAATTGTACTGAAAGTCATGGTTAACATGTATAAAGCATTAACTATTTCCTAGGCAGTGAACTAAGAGCTTGGGCTTAGAAGCCAGCTTGGGTTTGAATTCTGGTTTGCCAATTACAGCTTTGTGGGCAAGTTAATAACATATTCATGTTTTAGTTTCCTCATTTGTAAATAAAATTAGTAAATAAAATAAGGCATGCAGCCTAATGCTTGGTACAGGACTTTATTTAAACCTTATAACTCTGAGATAATACTATTAGCTTTACTCCTGGATTGGGATTACTTATTATGACAAATTCATATGCATATGTAATGTATGTATGTGTATATGTTATATACTCAGGTACATTCACATACAGACACATTATCCACATAGACATCCACACACATTCCTACATGTGGCTTGACAATTAAGTCACACAATACACTTCCTCAGTTTTCTTGGCTAAAGTATTCCTATATATTTAGAAAGTTTATTATTTTTTGCTCAGCCCACTTTATATTCACTTCTCATTTTGAACCTGGAGACAGACATCATGGATTTTAATTCTAACTCACTGAGAAGCTGTAATATGATGTCTAAATCTTTGCATTTGGCAGTATACTAATATACATCCTATGAAGGAAGTAAGATCACTGCAGAAGCTATGTGGGAAGAGGAGAAAAGTAGGCCTAGTGGTGGCAAATTGCAGAAAATACCATAAAAAATACATTTGATTTAAGAAAGAACTCACCTGATTGATAGATCTGTCTACACATAAGCTAAGGAATCTGGAAAAATCAGTAGAGCACATGACAACTAGTTATATTTTAGAAGCACACAATTGTGTCTATTTCATCATGTATGAAATTGAAATGTTTTTGTTATTTCCCCCCTTAACAATAGAATTGGAATCATTATGTAGCTCAGTTTCCGTAAGGCAAATCCAGCAGTAGGTATTGAATAAGTGAAATAATAACAAGAGAGAGAAAAATAACAATTTGGAAAATACAGGTTATTTTTTCTTCAGAGAATTGTAGGCTTCAGAATGAGTTGGAAGATGTATAATTCACTTTTTTTCTTGGCTCAGTTCAGGTCTGCATTTCTTAGTGGGGCTATCTTGCCAGGCTGAGTGCAACCACACCAGTTAGTGCTCAACAGAGGAAGTAATGATTTCTGTTTTAATGCAGAAAGAAAAACTGCCCGAGAGATTAAGTTGTCAAAGAGATTAAAAAATACGTCCATGTGCTCGTTTTTTTCCTGATTATAAGGATTTACAAGGGACTTTCAGCCGTACACAGCTATTACCTTATATACTCATTGTAGAATTTAACTGCCTCATGTGATGGTTTCTTGGAATGCTGGGCTGATGGTGCCTGGGGCTTGTTTGGGTTGGGGTGTATTTCAGATAGAGGCTATCCCTTGCACTAGCCTCTTGTCTAGTAAATCATAGGTGGAGCAGCAGATGCTGAAAACTATATCAGTGCTTGATTTTTTAGGTAAACTTTTTGTGATATTGAAGTGGAGTGTGTTTTGCTTATGTTCATGTTCCATCATTAGTTTGGGGTTTAATTTATTTCATTTATTGCCTACTAAATTCTAGGCCCTGAATAAGACTTGGATAAGTGATGCGTATGTTGCTAATAGTTCATTGGCAGAGTGAGCATAAAACCTTGCCAATGTGTGGATAGATGAACTGGCATATTGTCATTTAGTCAACTTGTTTTGGAAAAAATTCAGTTACTAGTAAACCTGTCCCCCTTTTCCCCCTTAATAAGGTTAAAATGGGCTTGCTGGTGGATTTGACAAATACTTCGAGGTTCTATGACAGAAATGACATAGAAAAAGAAGGAATCAAATATATAAAACTTCAGTGTAAAGGGTAAGTCATGTATTAGGTTTCTTTAATATTGAAACCTTTGGCTGAAATGTGTAATTTCTTTTAAAAACAAGAGTTTTCATTTTGCTAGACATGGTGAGTGCCCTACAACTGAGAATACCGAGACATTCATTCGTCTGTGTGAGCGGTTTAATGAAAGAAACCCACCTGAACTTATAGGTATGTTTGACTTGACTTTACCACTGTTGCATAGTTTACTTCTAGTTGGGTTTTAATTCTCGTTTTTGCAAGTGAGTTGATGTGAAGGTATGTTTTCCTTTTAAAGCAATCACCAATTATAGTAGAAGACTAAATTTTGCAGGCTATAAAATAATTGAATTTTTGTAGTTTTAATAATTTTCAAGATAAAGCTCTAATCAACCCTCTTCTGTACTATTGGGAAACTCTAAATACTATGTATTTATTTTTTTTATAATTGTGCATTTCATACCATATGTATTTTACTGAAATTTTTTTCCATTCAATATCTGAGAGTGAACCATGCTGATATATATGTGTAACTGTTCATTTTTTCTGTTGTGTAGTATCCCATCATCTGGATATACTATAGCATATTCATTCTCCTGTTGATGGGCCTTTCTTTCAGCAAGTATTTATTGACTGCTACTCTTTGCTAGGTACAGGCTCTTGGAACATATCAGTGGAGAAAACAGAAAAAAAGCCCCTGCTCTTCTGAAACATATTCTAGGAGTGGGGATGGTGGGTTGGGGGAAGGCAGGCAAAAAACAATAAATATAATAAATAAGTAAATGGCATTTGGGTTATTTTCACTTTTTTTCAATTATAAAACCCTATTATAAATAATGCTGCTAGGAGTGGTCTTATAGAATTTTTAAGGTTTGATTTTGAGCCTTGATTTATTGTTCTTTCTGGTATTTATATTGACATACAGTTTGAATTGAAGATCCAATTTAAATGTTTTTTATGTAACCAATCATTTGCTTCAACACAGCTTATTGAATATTTTTCTCCTGAAAACTAAAGGCCATAAATTAACTTCTTATTTGTACTATTGGAAAAAATTTTAAATTCGTTTGCCTTTTATTTTTTTGTAATTTTAAAAATTTTAAGTGACTAGTATTTTCTGCTTTTAGAGAATTAACAGAAAAACTATTAGTAATAATAAGGAAGTTGAGCGGACATATAAGGTGTCCCCTAAAATTTATACACAAATTGAATGATTATAAAGTCACTGTTTATTAACATGCAGTTCATTTTCAAAATTTAAAAGAATCTACAGAAATAGATTATTTTTTTATTAATGTCTGTTTCCCCACTGGTGACTATTCTAATCTAGGCACTGCTGATAATGTGAAGCAATAGAATTGCAAACATTAAGAATTATTTTGTTCAGTATTTGTGTGCCTTCAATTTGTCAACGGTTGTCGGTTTTGAACCCTTAGAACTTAGATCAGATCCTAAACAATCTAAGTTGAAAGTTCACGCTCTAAACCACTTCTCTTGTCTGTAACAGAAGTATAAAACAAGGAATAAAGTTATTGAGAAATGTAGGATGTCTTTATGAACAAAATACACTTGAACATTAAAAGATTTGACGAAATGGCTGAAACCGGTTTGGCTCAGTGGATAGAGCGTTGGCCTGCAGACAGAAAGGTCCCAGGTTCAGTTCCGGTCAAGGGCATGTACTTGGTTGTGGGCACATCCCCAGTAGGGGATGTGCAAGAGGCAGCTGATCGATGATTCTCTCTCATCGATGTTTCTAACTCTCTATCCCTCTCTCTTCCTCTCTGTAAAAAATCAATTAAAAAAAATTTGATGAAATGAAGAAATTTAAATATTTTAGTATAATTCCAAGCAAAGACCAAATGAGACTTTGGAAGAATTACTATGAAGTTTGTATTTGTAAAATCCATTGCCTCCATTAAGTCAAATATTTATTGAGCATAGAAAAAGTTTGACAAATCAAACAGGCAAGATTATGAGTAAAAAGATTTTGGAAAACAAAAATAATGAGGGGATATTCCTTACCAGATAGTAAAGCATATGGTAAAGCAATAGAAACAACAGTTATTTCCTGGTGGTAGAGGAGATCTCTTTCAAGGAGATCTCAACAAATGGTATTGAGTCAGTCAACTATGTAATAAAATTTATTTTAGATGGATTAAATATCTTTTAAAAGATGTATAAGAATATGGGAGAAAATAATATAGGAGAAAATAACAGTATTTACTTTATTCTGGCGTGAGGAAGGATATTCCCAGTATATTACTGAAGGCAGAATCCATGAAAAAGCCTCCCTCCCTCCCTCCCTCCCTCCCTCCCTCCCTCGCTTCCTGTCTTCCTTCCGAGTTTGAGTCATATGCTGGGGAGCAGGATTTCAAATGCTCCCACTATTTCTTTTTAGAGTGTTCCTGGACTACCTGCATCAGAATTGCCTGGGGGGGGGGGGGTAAGAAAATGAATTGCCTGAATGTTCTTATTAGAAATGTATGTTTTAGAGCCCCATCCTGGACTTATATAATAAAAAATTATGGGAATGAAGCCTAGGTTTATAGTAAGGGTCTTAGATGATTTTTATGCACACTTAAATTTGAGAGCTGTTGTCAAAAGTTAAAATGTGGTGTTTGTGATAATAGTAACAGCCGCTACTAATGAATGCTTATTATTTGCTTGGCAGACATGTTGGGAAACAATGAATGAATGAAGGAATGTATGAACCTTTATAGCAACTCTTGAGTATCTCCATTTTATAGATAAGGAAACTGATTCTTAGAGAAGTTAAGTAGTTTGCCCTTGCCATACATCTGAGTGTTCTGACTTCAAAGTCCAAATTTTTAAGTAGTTGTTATACTGATTTCCAGATTGATCACATAAAAATGAAAAAAAAAAATCTGTATTATAAAACACAAAGAAACAGCAAAAAGATACTTGACAATTTGGGAAAAACATTTGAAGCATAGTATGGGGATTCTATTCAGAGTATGCCAAATGCTTGAGGCTAATTGGAGTATAGAGGCCGTGTTCAGAGTACACCAGATATTCAAGGCCACTCTGAGCGTGGGAATCTTAATCAGGGTGTCCAAGGCCTATATACTAGTGCAAGAGCAAAGGCACAGTAATCTGTATATTCACTGCACAAGTGTGCCCTTCTGTAACCCAAAAGACTGACCTCACTACCTGGCAAGAAGCCTCTCGTGTAGGTAGTATAAAGTATGTTACTGACCCTCCAGCAGTGTGTGGCTGCTTGGTGAGGCTAGCTCCTATGTTAGGTGCTCCTTGTTAGCAATGGCTACATGGCCACTAGCTTCTACAATAAAGATTCTCTCATACACCCACAACATCTTATGGCTTCTCTGTCGAATACCCAGCGTTCAAGAAGGTCTAGTTCCTGCCGGGACCGGTTTGGCTCAATGGATAGACTTAGGGGTGTCGAACTCAATCAGAGAAGGGGCCAAAATCTAAAATCCAGCCTAAATCGAGGGCCGAATGGTTTACTGAACAGTCATAAACTGTCATTGTGATGGAAACGCAGCGGAGTGCAGTGATGACAGCGTGGTGCGGGCCACATTGCAAGGCCTGGCGGGACGGATTTGGCCCGCGGGCCTTGTGTTTGACACATGTGGGATAGAGCATCGGCTTGGGGACTGAAGGGTCCCGGGTTCGATTCCGGCATGTACCTTGGTTGCGGGCATATCCCCAGTAGGGGGTGTGCAAGAGGCAGCTGATCGATGACTCTCTCTCATCGATGTTTCTGACTCTCTATCTCTCTCCCTTCCTCTCTGTACAAAATCAATAAAATATATTAAAAAAAAAAAAAAAAAGAAGGACCAGTTCCTGGCAGAGGGGCTCAGACCCAACATATATAACACAGATTTAAAAAAATGAATATTTTTTACATATAAAGAAATTGTATAACCCAATAGGCAAGAGAGGTATTCCTCAATAGAAAACAAAGTATGATTTTTAATAGGTGAAATACAAGTAGTCAAGAAATGTGAAATTTTTTTGTTCTCATTTGTTAATAAAAAATAAAAATTAAAATATATGTTGTTACTGTTCCCCATCAATTTGGCAAAGTTCTAAAAGATTATAAAGAATTGGATAAAATGGGTGCACTCATATATTGTTAATTAGAGTGTTTATTAGCACACCCTCTCTGGTGGGACAATTGGATGATGTTTCTCAAGATCATTAAAAGTGTTTATGTACTCTGATTCATCAAGGCCACATCTAAGACTCTATTTTAAGGAAGTAGTCAGATATGAATACAAAGATTTATGAGAAAGGAATTTCATCACAGCTTTGTTTATAATAAAATTGGAAGCAGCTTATATATCTCTTAAAAGCAGGTAATTTATGTTGTACAGTATGCATCTGCTATTCAACAGAAGAACAATAATATGACAACATATGACATAGCATTATGATATATATGTTTACATAATTAACAAGAACACATACATGCACATATATTTAGGTATATGACTAGAAGGTACACATCCTAAAATAACACTGAGACCTTTATTTGAATGATTAGAAACAACTATTTTCTCATTTGAGAGCTACCATTATAGCAGTATATGCTCAATGTACTTGAAGAATTCAAAGGAGGGCAGTTAAGAAGTCTTAGGAATCAGATTTCATGATTTCAGAATTAACACATTTAGAAAAAGAAGTGAATCCTTACTATAAATTGCTTAGTTGTAATCTTCAGAAAACTGATAGGAAACATTTCTCTATTGAATTTTACAGGTTATAAAAATTATAGAATTCTGCTACAATATTTATATATTATATATGTGTTCATGTCATGGATGGTGGTTCTGTTCATATGGATCGAAGTGAAGCCTTTGCTTTGGGCCTGCCAAGTTTTGGAGCACAGGTTATGCTAGCAATTATTTATGATAGTAATGCTCTGAAGACAAAATAGGAGGTGGTTGCTGGTAACACCTTTTCAAATAAAAGGTAGCAAAGAATCAACTTGAGTGTTCCTACGATCTGAAAATATTGGCCTACTTTTATACTATTTTAATTGTGTTTTAGTATCAGAGATGGAATTTTCATTAGCCTTGCACACATTCTTACTGCAGCATAGTTGTGAACAACAGTGAACATCTGTGATATAACAAAAATTAAACTCATTTATTTTCAGTTTTTTATTTCAAGAAAGAACAAATTTAAATATAATAATGTTACAT